AATATTAAGATATTATATTTATCCTTCTTAATCCATAAAATATTAGATTTATCAAAATCATCTTTTAGTTTTTTTATATTTTATAATCTTTTTATATTTTAAAATCATGAAAATTTTAAAAAGGAACTAAATAGATCAATTTGGCCTTACTTTCTATATCAGAACATGAATGAAATCATTCGCAAAAGAGATAAATATGTGGGGGGAAAAGTCAAAACTCTTAGGAAAAAGGCTCCAATATAGGCAATGCATGAAAATCTGTTAGCAGATCTTATATAAGAATCTTTTTCACAAAAGACATATTTTGAGTTTCATCAAGAATCTCATCAAACTGTTCTTGATATGTTTCTAGAAATTCTTCTAATTCACATACAAAAAGAAACAAATTTGGAGGACGGAATTGAAAGATTAGTTCCAAAAGAGGGGCACGTTGAATGTACCCAAAACCAGGCAAGAAGATGTATAGCTGTGGGAAGTAAAATCAATGGGAATTTGAAATTTAAAAATAAAAAGGTTACAAGATGCTTTTAAAATCTGCTCATACGCTATGTAAATTAAGCATAAACTAATAAACCCCTCATCGCTTTGTAGATTTTGATTTTCAGTTATTTTTAGGTCACTATTTCATCATGGATTTCAGGTGAGTTTAATTTAATTTTTTTTTTTCCATATCGATGTTGCTCTTGAATCTTGATCATTGAAAGTCGTCGTTGATAAAGATGATAGTCAACCCTCCAACATTGAGTCTTTCAAACATTTTTTGCAATACCCCTAAGCAAATATTTAATGACTTTTATATAGATTTTTTCAATAATAATATTGTATCAAGTCATATATATATATATATATATATATATATATATATATATATATATATATATATATATATATATATATATATATATATATATATATATATATATTATCATGATATTAGTCATATTTAACTTTTTAAATGAAATACTTTACAATTTTGGTCCCCTACTAATTTTGGATTAGGTTGACTAATATGTAGTACAAAAGTCGAAACCTAGTACCACGTGACTTTTACAACATTGATCATATATTTATCATCCAAGATTCTTCTAACACAAGATTTGTTTCTTTGAGAAAATCAAGATTGATATATGTTGCCATGTTGCGACGACATTGTGACTTTCAAAAACTTTAGAGTAAAATTATTCAACTTTTATTTCATATCTTTTTTGGCACTTTAGTCCGGTTTAGCTCTTACAATAAATAAAATGACTATAATATTCTTATATATTTTATAACTTTTTGTTATTTAGTTATCATTTAAAAAAGAAAAAAAAAATGGACCACCCTCGTATTTCGTAACAAGTATACAACACCCTAAATCATTAAGACATATGGTATGGGCAACGAGAAGTAGTATTTTTGCTGATGTGGCATTTCATAACATGGTCATAACATCATAAATACCATTTCCCCCTTGGTGTTATGACATATTTTGTTGGCGTTATGACATATTGAAACGAGAACATTGATTGGCTACACATTTCTTCTCTCTCTAATTTTCTCCTCTTAACCTCCTCATAACATGGTCATAACACCATGAACACCATTTCCCCCTTGGTGTTATAAGTTGTTATAACACCACCTCAACGGGCTCATACCTACTGCTCTAAAAGACTATGACAACAACATACCATCCTTATTGTTGCACTTTGCTTGCTCCACTTTTTGGATCTTCTTTCTGTAACCATATTAAATAAAATGGGGAAGAGATAGGGAAGGTGTGAGGTGGTCCATTTATTTAAATAAAAAAGTTAAGAATTTTTTTTTTAAATGTATATATAAGAGTATTATAATCATTTCATTTCTGATAAAAACTAAACCTACAACAAAACCAAACCATAAAAACCTTTCAGTAATTTACTCGAGACATTTATTAACATATAAGATATTCATCGTATTTCTTTAGTTTTTTAATTACTTTTAAGAATAGGTACATATTCTATATGTTCGTATAGTTGGGAATTGAAGATGGGGACATCAAATGGTGAACAAACAACCCAAAGTTTTAACCGAAAAAAATAATAATCGCTTTTATCCATAACCATTTCAATTTTTGTTAGTTCATTAGCAACCCAAAACAACCCAATCTTATATATATATATATATATATATATATATATATATATATATATATATATATATATATATATATATGCTAGCCGTTTACCCGCGCCAAGCGACGGGTGCGAATTGAATTATTCACTGAACTTTACTAATACTTTTGTATTGCTATATGATATATCTCTAGATAATGTCAAATATAGTTGGTCATGAGAGAAAATCGACTATGAAAGATAAATACTTACATTTTAAATTGTTTGTCTCTGAGCTTTATGCGCCACACATGGAACCTAGGGCAGTGAATACTTTATCTACGGCTAATATTTCATTTTTGAAGATAGTTTCTTTTTTGTGGGCGTTAGATAGTTTTTTTTGAAAGATTAATTGTTTTTAGACAAATAATTTTGTTTCAGAAATATGTCATATTACAAAGAATATGTAATGTTTCGTGGAATGGTTTCTTTTACAGTATAGTGTTTAATGTTTCATATTTGTTTAGTGTTTTGGATTTAAAGTTTAGATGAATTTTTTTCCTAAAAGAAGAAATATGCAAATAGTTATTGTAAAACACAATTTGCTTCTCTTTTGAATAGCATCCTAATTTTTTTAGTAACTTATATTATATCTCGGTTTTTTTGGTTATTAATTATTAATGATTTTGGTCTGCAAGTTGTTTAAGTGAACATCCTAACTTTCAATTTTGTAATAATGGTCATTTTGCACTTAAAAAGTTAAAACAAATTATATATGAACAAAATTTGTAATTTCTTTTATCCTTTAACTTCGATATAAATTTTCAAAAAATTGTACAAGTTTGCAAATATTAGAAATTTTAACTAAAATGATCATAGAATAGTACAAATTTGATCCCTATGGAATTGTATTTTTACAATTTAGTATAAAACAATTGATTATCTTATGTCAATTATTACCATAAAAGAATTGTAATTTTACTACATCAAAAAAAGAATTGTTTAATCTTGAAATCAATGTACACATACAAGAACTTGTGTTGTTGAAGATAATTTCAATTGGGGACCTTCATGAAACCTGCAACCAAACAAAGACAATATCAATGGATAGAAATGAGTGGCGACAACACAATACCCAATCCAATTTGATACACATGGATCTCCAAGCCTCCGGTACCTAATCCTACTATTTGGATCAACAAAGTTTTGCGTAATACCTTTGTGTGTTGTCATTGCACATTAAACTTTACCATGAGTATTAGTCTTCTTTCTAACATATTTAATTTGATAAAATATAAGCACTTGTAAATGTAAATCTTTAATAAAAACTTCTCCAAAAACATGAAAACAAAGCAGTTTACCTTCAAAGTTTTTCATTCGGCGTCTCTAGTCTCTAACAACAAAAAGCAACATTACAATTTACAACAGAAGGAAAGGTTATACATTTCTAAAATGGTCAAATTAATACATATATGATATCATAAATACTATTTTTCTTCCCCAAATTTACAAATATAAAAATGTTGTGAGAATTTTCATAAGCTTATCTGATTGAAATATCAAAAATTTACTCCTAATACTCTACATTCCCAAAAAAACAGCCGGAGGAACAGGTCACATAAACTTCTAGAAGATAACTCAAACAAATTAAATATATATATGAAACATAGTTGGGATGCTTACCAAAAGCAGATCAAGATGGTAAATTCATTCTTACTTTGACTCCCCTTCACCCATGCATCTAAAAAAGAACTCAAAATATAAAGCCTTGAGTTCTATAAAAAGGTTCAAATGGAGAGAGAGAGAGAGAGAGAGAGAGAGAGAGAGAGAGAGGATGTTGAACCCAAAATACATGATTCGGCTCAAATTCTAACCCAGCAACCTTAGCCATGATCATAAAAAAAGATCATTTGGTAAACCAAACTACTATCATTTAAATGAAACACAACTTGGTTTAAAACTCAAAAAAGAACAAAGACGAAGGATTAATTTAGTTTGTTACCTTCTTTTCCAGCAAGAAAAGTTCATGTAGATAAGGAAAAATTGAGATAACGTAAGCACTTTGCTGGTGTCTGCAAGCCCTAATTACAAAATTAAAAAAAGTGAAACCTCTGCGAAGAGAAGATACATGGAAAAAGAAAGAAAAAAAATGAAACCCCTAATATCATATCTACCTATATACCTGAAGCATAACGAAAATATAGGATTCAAGAAACCGTTTTCTCCCATTAATCGGATTAGCCACTTAATTAAACCCTTTATACTCTTTTTTTTTTTTAATGTTTTAAGAAACTGTTTTCTCCTATTAATCAGTTTTGGAAAATGTTAAAATACAGAAAAGCAAAACATATTTTCAACATCTCAAAGATTTAGCCAGTGGACACTGAACTACTTTTTTTATGCGTATTATAATAATAGTTCAGTGGCTAAATTGAAATTGTAAAAATAGATTGTTTTTTTTGTATTTTGCCTTGAGATAAACCTAGGTAACCGCCAAAATGGTATTTTTCTAAAGTATTTCACTTTTAAATCACTATGGAAATTAGTCAAGCGACTAAATTGATATAATTCTTTTTTGTATAGTGCCCTTTGCACAAATGTAAATGGAGAAAAATGATAAAGATTAAGGATCTTACATTGTGTTTTAGTATGTAGAATGATGAATCAATGGAAATTGCCACTAAATCACCACTATCAGCCCATTATAGGTTCTAAAAATGAAGAAAAAAGAAACAAAAACAATATTATTTCTTATACTTAAGCAGAAGTGGTGACAGAAAAGGTGATATGTGAACATTATATAAAAATAAAGATAAGAGTAACAACTATTACTTTGACATTAACGTCAATCCATTGAATTAATTTGTACTCAGACCAATCATAAAAACATATAAAATCATCTGAGCACATTGCCAACAAAGATCCTCCTTATATCCGCTCAGCTGAAAATGTCAGCATGATACTCTTCTTTTCCTAATTAATAAGACCATAGAAAAGAATTTTAAAAAAATGAATAGAAATGTAAGAAGAGGGGCAATTTCGTCATTGATTAAAATCATTAGTTATAGGGAGTGCACCAACCTGGAAAGATTTGTTAAAAATCTTGACTTTAAATGTGCTCTCTGTAAAAGCATACTCACCATCTGTTGACCAAACAAATTCCAAAACAGAAATGGTGATATGTGAAAACATACATATGGTTCCGATTCAACTATGGATACATAAACCTTTTTGTATTACAAACGATCAATAAAGATTTTAAAAGCAATATATATGTAAGACTTCTAATTTTAAAATAACACCAAGATCAATCTCGAACACAAACATAAACTTCTAATCTCAAGCTATGTTATGGCAGCAAGTGAGTTAATATGCAAAAGAAATGTTGAATTTTTTTATTAATAAAAACCGAATATTTCGAAATATAAAAATAAAATGTTAAATCGTGTGCTAATTATAACATCAGAAATTTAGAACCAATTACCAAAAGCCCTTGTTCTCATATTGTCGATCTTCCTTCGCTTGGCCTTTCTGCTTTTTGAAAGCCATCTATTTTGAGGTCTAAGCCACCGGTATACCTGAAATTGAAATTAAAACAAAAAATATCCAAATCATTTTGATGATGAAAGATGATGAAGAACTAAGAATCACATATGGAGATGAGGTCAACTGGTCAAGATAGGATTGAAAACTTTGTTATGAAGCCATAATTGGGGTTTCATAATGACAAAAACATCTAGAAACTTGTTTAACTTTGATGAATGACTCAAGTCATTCAGTTAACGGGATGATGAACACACAAATTGGGGTCCAGGAAGAAAGGTGAGGGCTTTCATCGTCGTTTTCATCAAAGACCAACTCCATTCTTCGTAATACACACATTGATGGATGTTGGTGGTGACAGTTAGGGTTGTGGAGACTGTTAGGGTTTGTCGTCGTAACATAACATAGAAGAGGGGCAAGAGAGGGGGGCGATGGTGGAGGTAACTTAAGGTTAGGGTTTCCTGTGTAACGAAGGGTTATGGTAACATAGGGATACCAGAGACGGAAGAGAGTAAGGAAAGAGTTAGAAGAGATGTTGCTGGTACGAAGGTAGTTTGGGAAGACGGAGAAGCGGCATAGCGAACGACTTAGGGTTTCTCGATGAAGACGACTGAATTAGGTTTTCAGTGAGTAATTTTGGGTCAGGAATAAAAAATATTGTTTGATTCCCGAATTAATTCCCTAAATGATTCACGTAGGTGTATTGGAAAATAAGTTGTACATGAGGAAGTAGGGTTTGTACCTCTTAAATTTCAAGAAATGAGCATAGTTATATATATATATATTAATAACCAACTTTTATAATGTTTAAGATCATCAAAAGTATGCAATGTGCGTCTGTGTATAAAACTAGGAAACATACTATGATAAAACATTGCATATATGTTACCCTACTTCTTTCAATAATTAAAATTCATCAATAATAGTAGAATCATGCCCAAAAAAATATTCAAAAAACACATAAAGCTCAATCAAAAACCAAATCTAAAACTTCATATTGAGCATTTGCTTGCTTTTTGCATGTTTCTCCACTTATCTTTAAGGTCAACAGGTGTACGACTTTTTTGAAATACAGAAACACCAAGTTCTAAGATCATCCTCCATGGAATAAAACCTCCATCACTCTCTCCCAAAAACTTTTCCACCCATTTCTGATACAAAAAATATAATTTATATTTTATTAGTATTTGTTTAACTAACTTCCACATTATAAGATTAATAGAAATATGCGACACAATTTGTATTATTATTATTGGTATACCTTTAGTGTATCTTCCTCTGATTTTGTCCAAGGGACTGGGATTCTTCTTCTTCTTCTTTGTGGAACAACTAATCTTGTGCTATAATAATAATAATAATAATATATAAATACTAATTATATAATTATATATCTTCAAATATGAAAATCAAATCAAGAAAACTAAAAATAACAAAAACATTACCATGGCTTAATGTGGTCAGACAAATACAATCTCTCGTGTGGCATTTTTGGTAACACCAAACCATTGAAAGAAGCCACATCATTTCTTGCTAATGAAGCTTTTTTCTTAATTATTCTGTAGTTTGAGATTAATTGAGAATATTTACAAAAAGGGCAATAGAACTTTCCACTTGGATCAGAAGTGAAGAACAAACAACTTTCATGAAACACAAATGAGCAAGATTTTGAACTGCAAACTAACAACTGACCACCTTTAGAACACTTCATACACTGATTTCTCTCTTTACAATGAGTAGATGTTTCTATATTTCTGCAATTTGAACTAAAAAACATTTGTCTTTTAGCAAGAATATCGTTTATCTCTTTGTGATACCAGTCATCTTCTCCATCTTCGTTGTTTGTCATGCTTCTTTGATGTTGATAACTAGATATAGCACCATTTGCATCATGATTTATAGTTTCAGGTTGATTCGGATGTTTCAAGGATGCCATTTTAAGCTGTTTCAGAAACAAAGCAAGCTTTTCAATTTAGGCAAATGACTGAATCAACAGAAACAATGACACAATCATAATGAATCAAAGGGAAACATTAATTTCGGATAGAAGTGAAGTGATTATGATTCTGTTTAACTACTTGCAGACATAAATGTAAAATGGTGATTAATTGAGAGTTCGATTGTAAATGGGAATCGCATTTACGAAAACCTAAAGTAACAGTATTCAATCTAAAAGGAGAAGCAGCTGACGGATGAACTATCAAACTTTCAACATTCAAAATGTAAAATCAAGTTATCAAACACAAAAGAGCAATTTTCCAATGCTAATCAACAGATTAAATTCAAACAAACAAACTTAAGAGTTCTGCGTATGAGGATAAAGTAGACTATTAGACTTACCGCGCGATACAAACGAAGAGGAGGAAAGGAAGTAGAACGGTAAGGCGTTTGTCCTATAGAAATCTGGAGAGCAGGAGCTGATCAGCCGACGTCGCCGGCGCTACCCTGGTGGTAGAGACTACCGTACGTCGGAATCGGACAATTGGAGCGTAGGTGTACTACGACAATCCATGTGTTTCCGGTAAAAAGTAAGAAAATTTTAGTTTTGTTTTGAAAACGTAATTAAAATTAGGTTTTTTTTACGGCTAATTCAAATTGTCATACCATGTAATTTTAAATTAATTTTTATTTCATTTGTTATTTTATAGATTTTTTATTTTATTAAATATCAAATATTATTTAATCTAATAATAAATACATATCAATTTCATTAATGAAATTTCTTTCTAATTTCAAAATTATTAAATTAAAGTTTCATTAATTTTCTTTATTTATTTATTTAAATTATTTGTTTAAATTTAAAAAACAACAAAATAAAAAAAAACACTTTAATTTTTATAATTCAATTATCATTTTTTTTATAAATTCAAACTTCTCAAATATTTTGAATTTTATATTAATTTTTTTTAAATAAACTCATGTGATACATGAGTCTCACGCCTAGTTGTATACTATACACTAGTTGTGAAACTCGTATATTATACGAGTTGATTAAAACAAAATATTAAATAGGAATGATTAAACGAGAAGTTTATTTGAATTTGAAATTTGAAATAATTGAAAATTATGAGAAAAAAATGCAAAAAATAAATAAATTAAAATTATATGTTTAGTTATCAGACTCCATGTACTAAACGGGTAAATTATAATAAAATGTTAACCATAAAGGTTTAAACTATAATTTTTTTTTAAATTGAAATTGAAATTTGAAATTAATAGTTATTATGGTAATTTTAATTTATGGAAACTAAATTAATGATATATTGAAAATGAAAAATAAAATAAATAACAAGTGGAAAATAAATATATCTAAAAATTGTAACAAAATGATATGTGACCAATTGAATGACAAATGTGGCAAGATCATTCTTATTTGATCTGTTCATCAACCTTTTATTAGAGTCTTGAGATGCTCTTATTTCAAATAAATTGTTTATTATTTGGTTAAGAACTTATGTTATAAAATATATACAGTATAATACACGTCTAAATCATTATATAATAAACATACTTTATAGATGCAAAAAAAAATTGAGATGAAATGAAGTACTACATAATTAGAGAAAATGATATATTTATAAAATCCAACCTCAGACTACATTTTGCAAAATAAATAACATATGTGGCTGACTCGTTTATATCAGACTACAAATATATGTATCAAAGATAAAAGGCATAATTTGAAATATTATGTATACTTTAACATCCAATCTCATGGACTACCTTTTGCAAAATAAAAACCATCACTCTTTACTAACCAAAAACATTTGTTCGTCTTTAATAATTTGTTGCCACATTCGCGAGCAATATGATTATTGAAAACTGGAAACTCGACCTCTTGATAAATTTGATTGTCAGTCGTTATCTAGTAGAAGTATCCGCTAAATTCAGTTGTTTCGCCGAAATTCCTACAAAAGTCTCAATGGAACGCATCGTTTATAGTCATTGTTTATTATATGGGTTAATTAAAACAAAATGTTAAATAGGAACGATTAAATGAGAAGTTTATTTGAATTTAAAATTTGAAATAATTGAAAACTATGAGAAAAAAAATGCGATAAAGAAATAAATAAAAATTATATGTTTAGTTATGAGATTCATGTACTAAACGGGTAAATTATAACAAAATGTTAAACACAAAGTTTTAGACTGTAAATTTATTTGAAATTAATAGTCATTATGGTAAAGTTTAATTTATGGAAACTAAATTAATGATATATTGTGAAAAATTAATATATCTCAAATTTATGACAAAATAACATGTGGCCAATTGAATGACAGAATGATATATGGAAAAATCATTCTTATTTATTAGGGTAGAGAGAGAGAGAGAACCATAATTATTGGTTCTCCAAATAACCAATTTTTTTTTCAAATTCTCGAGCTTATTCTTTATCGGAAAAAAAAAACAAAAAATATCTAAATTCATAACATAGCGAATGTTAAATATATTTTTCGGATTTACCGTGTGAATTTAGATTCACATTGTGAATTTGACGATTTTTTTTTTCGAATTTGATATCATTGGAAAAATGATAAAAAGTTATCAATTTTTGTATTTTTAGTTTTTTTTTTGATAAAAAAATAAGTTACAAAAGTTGAAAAAAAAATTGGTTCCTTGGTTAATTATGGTTCTCTATTGAACCTCTCTTTCTCACACACACACACACACACACACATATATATATATATATATGTGTGTGTGTGTATGTGTGTGTGTGGATACCAAGTCTTCTTACGTGATGAACATGTGATGGAACCGGTACCGACTCAAGATTCTCGGATATCAAATTGGGTGGAAAGTCGATACCGAACACTGAACTAAATCAACATCACTAATATCAGAAATTATATTGATTTTCCGCACTATCACCAATATTGATGATACCGAATCTCGAATTTCATGACTTTAAAGTATTGAGTATCGTCCTATATTAATATATGACAGTGTAGGGTTTGTATTGATACTGGTTTGGGCCATGAATTTTAGTATTTTTGCTTACCCCTATTTAATACAGTCGTAACCTCCCAACTTATTGACACTCTGACAAACATTACACAAGGTTATGTGAAAATCAAGGCTCGTTTATCTAGATGAATGTCAAAGCATCCTTTTTAAGTCAGAGTCAAAATATCTTAGAAGGAAGACATCAATGGATAGTTCGTCCAAATGAATAAAAGGTTCTTAATCATTGTTGTGCACTACATATGCTTGTTTGCCTCAAAACTGCTAGTCTACTTCAATCATCTTAAAGCTTTTATGAAAGATGTTTATTTCAAAAGAATGGATTTCATCGACTTCATTTTACTCCCTAAAATTGACTCAAGAGAGGTTTGTCAATGTGTATTGCCTTAGAGAATGATCAATGAGAGATGGATTGAGAGCATTTACCGGTGATGATAATTATGTTAGGTTTCTTGATCGTGGTTATGTCAATGAGGAAAAGATTAATGTATTATTGATGATTTTAGTGATACCAAATATTTTTGTGTAATTGGAACTAATATGTGTGCTAAGAGGCTTATAATTTGTACTATATTTTATATGTTTAGTGAGTGCAGAGTGCATACATATATAAAAACAAATTATAAGTCGATGATAAAATGGTAGGGGTCAAGGGGGTCGTGCCCCCTTTTAGGGTCATATTGGTCCTCAATTGAGTCGTTCACGTACCACTTTGAGCCCTCTCTCTTCAAAAAAAATCTCATAATACTATAGTAATTTGACTTATGTTTTTGTGTCTAGATTCGTAAGTGTCCCTGTGGGTTATCCTAAACTGGATTTCTTATAACTCAGACAGATGATATAGATATCAATTCGGAAAGCGAACCTATATAATCCATTGAGGATCCAATTCTCCACCATCACCCATGCCAACCCTAACATGTATGCATTACCACTTCGGTGAACCACTATATGATTAGATTAGGCAAGAGAAATCATAAGATAAATGTGGTGAAAGTGATTACTCTAATGATTGTATGGCCTCAATATGTTTGATGAATTATCCATTGATTACAAAAATGACAATGAGGTTTTTGAATTGCTTGATTCTCTTTGAGCAGCAATTGTTTTTATTCAAAACCAAATACATATGACTAACATCTTGTATGTGATGACGGCGACATGAAGCCACTACGTATCCTTACCATGATCCAAAATCAAAAATAGGTCATAGGGGCCACAATGCTACTCCCCTTACTTTTGTCATAACAGAGTTATGGACTTAAATAGTAATTTTTTTTTTTTTTTTTTTGAGTAGGATGTAGTGAGAAAAACCGAAGGGATGAGAAATTAAGAAATATAGAAGATATTGGAAACATATTGGGCTTGAATTGATGCATATTAAATGGGCCATTTCTGAATTGAAGATGGATAAAAGGTTAATGAGGCATTTTATTTCTTTGTACTTTGTACTTTGTAATGTACCATGGTTATTTTGATACCTATTTGATATTTGATTATATTTATTTCCTTTATATTTGTAATCAATCTTCTGTTTCTAATAAAGTTCGCCAGTGTTTTCTCTTTTTCCAAAAAAAAAGGTATAAAAATAATTTTGATACACTATATGTCAAACATGTTGCATACAAGATTAATTCGATTTTAAAATCTTTTACTTAGTGCTAATGGCAGGAGCATCCATCTTGCATTGCAAGGGTGATTACAAATATAGCATTTTCACACTTCATATGGTATCTTATTTTACCTCTTTATTCTAGTTCTTTAAAAAAATTGTTCATAAACTAGTGGGACAACCCACATTTTGCACGGTTTTATTAATCTTATATTATCAACATTAATTTTGAAATTGTCCGACACAGAGGTCATTTATGTAACTTATGTGAAATAATAGACATCTTTTGTAAATCCTCTATTAGGCAAGGACCATTTATGTAATTTTGTGAAATACAAAGACCGTTTACGTTATTTTATTATTATTATGAAGGGACCATTTATGTAAGTTTACTATTAGGCAAGGACCATCTTTATAACTTTGTAAAACATATGATACGAACCATATTTATAATTTTATGAAACAGAGACTTATCCATATAATTCCATAAAAGAGAGTGACCATTTTATGAAATATTATTGTTAAAGACATGCCATTTTATAAGATAGCCCGAAAATAAAATGTCATCAAATTAATAGAACTTCTTTATCTAAATTTCTAAATTGTTTGAATATTAAGTCATCCAAACTATGTATGTACTCGGATTCATATACATGAAATTCTACAAAATAGCGAATGGCACAAATGCTCATCCCTCCTCATTTATATTTATTTGATAATAAATAAAAATGAAAAAAATAAATATTTAAACTAAAAAGAATGTAAACTATAAAAACTTTAACTACAACTTTCCATGATTTAGACTTAAGACATAAATGATAAATCTAAGAGAAAATGACAAAAATAGCTAATTATACTAATTACATTACAAAAATAATCAAAAAAATCGAAATTGCAAAAATAGCTCTCAATTTCGCAAATGGAATTGCCCCAT